GCGTACGTATACACACACACATACCTTGCAACATCGGAAGGTAGCTTACGTAGGCTGACGTAATCAGCGAGCACAAATCCATTAGAGAATTGAAGCATGCGTGGCGAATAGGGGTGCGAAGGGAGTGCGAGAGAGTCTGAATGAAAGATTTTTGGATTAACTTCTTTCTTACATTAGATAAGATTTACAGAAAATACTTTCATTGTATTATTCTCGTAATATTTAATTTGCTTAATGTACAATAAAATGATTAACATACGGCGCATTTACTTGGTTTACTTAAATCTTCTTTGCTGCTGGATTGGTTCGTAATTTCACCGCACGTTTCGCTTCCATCTGCCTTTGTCTAGCCAATTTGCGCTCCTCTCTCTTTCTCCTTGCTTCTTCGTATTTATTGTTTCCGCTAGGAATGTCTGCATGTTACAGAAAACAATTGTTTTCAATAATAATGAAGTGAAATGTGTTTGTGTATGAATCAATTAGAAATGAAGTAAATATACTTGGCTGCTCTAAGGGCTGAACATCCTCGAGAGACTGAAACTCTGAGTCTTCCCATCCTACTTCGGAAGAATCATTTTTATCTTGAACACCTTGGGTTGTTTCTTCTTCCTATAATACACAGAAAGATTTGTATGTTATTGTATAATGATATCAAAATATATGACCATTCAATTATTATTTCCATTATCTATTCACGCCAATATGTTTATATGCATAGTATACATATATAGGATGAATCAGAACAATAATTGCTGATTCGATTCTGAAATAATTTTTTAAAATTAAAGCTTCGGGCAAAATATTGCAAGAAAAAATTTCAGAAATATTTGAGTCAGGAATATGTCTTTTAAGAGACAAATGGTTATTCTGTATGACTCAATCTGTATAGAGTGTTTTAAAGTTCACAATAACAGAATTAATTTTCCTTCAACAAAAATTTGTTTGAATCATATTATCATTTTTATTATCACGCAATGTTTAATATTAAGTGTTTAATTAAGCTTTAATTAGCTAGAATACTATTAATTCTTTTAAATATTTTTGTTGAATAAAAAATGTTATCCTTTCAGACTTAGAATTTTTGATACATTCGCACCGCTCGTATGGCTCGCATTAACATATCAAGTTAGATAGGATATCCAAGAAGAACCTTGATTTAGCATAAAAATGTCATAAAATGCCAAGTAACAAACCGGTTCCTCCTCAAGACTGGTCCACTGTTCGTTAGCCTTAGGGGAGTGGCCGGATGACGATATACTACTGGCTGGATTTAATGGCACCGACGGTGCAGTGGTAGATTGCTGCTCCATGTCTCCCCAGTTATCGGCATCCCAACAATCCCAATCGCAATCGGAATTGGTATTTTGCGTGTTTTGCGTATCGTGCTCGTGATCAGGATCGAGGGAAGTCATACTTGTCGCGCTGCTCGTCGTGGCAGTAGTACTGGCGCTGCTTTGGGAGCTGCTGGCTTGTTCTGAAGCAATAAAATAAGAGAAACATTACTAATATACAAATATATAAGAATACATATCCTACTACATAAGTAACTAATAAAGGGGAAAAAATGCGCGTGTGCACGGAATAAAAAAAAAGAAAGAAAGAAAAAGAAAACTAATGCTAACCTAAGGAAGCAGGTTTGTTTAACAAGATCCTAGATGTGCTATGAGCATTTGACGATTTCGGTGTGTCTGACTGGCTGCGATAAAATTTCGCTGTAACCGCTGTAACAGCCCATCCGGCCCATGTCGCTGCGGCGTTGCTGAGACTGGGTGTCGCCGTATTCACATCCGCCTCTACATTTAATATGTTTTAATGACATTAGATTCAGTATTTCCTTTCTCAAGATTTTTTTTAAAGAGGAATACTAGCGCTCACCCATTGATTCGCGAAGACCAGGATCTTCGGAGACTGTCTCGAGCTTTGATAAAAAACCTCTAATAATACGAAATGCGTTGTCTCGTACACCTTTGTCCACATCCGTGGTAAGTGGACACAGAGCTGGTAGAATGCGATTTGCGACTTCCTGCAGCAAGAAATATTGCTGCGTTGCAGCCAGAGCCAATATACTCGCAATTCTAGCTGGAGGGAAAGAATCACGAGTTCCACGGATAAACGCGCCAATCAATACCTAAAATTACAATTTTATATATATATATATATATATATATATATATATATATATATAATA